GATGGGTTGTATGATGCATCAAGGAGTGCAAATCTGAAAATTTAACATTCAACTCTAAGGTAATTAGTTTGACAGAAACATGCAGAAAATGATGAAAATCTCAAATAGATAAAATAGAATAATTTGGTAGAAGGATTTTTAAAGATGGGAAGATGGAGATATTAAGATGTGCAAATGGTGGTAGAAATGTTCTGATTAATAGTGATCTGCTGCAAGATTTATGTGTGTTGAAATAAAGTTAACATATCCATGTAGAAGCTTCTGTTCACTTGGTTAGTTATACTTCCCCCTTTTCTCATCTTCCCCCTTAATTCTATTGGCTTATTGTGTTATATCTTACTCTTTTCTGTACTTTGCGTAACATTACTCATCTCCCTTAGAAGGGAACAGCACCATGAGGAACTAGTATGTATCCATCACTCTTTGATTATGAGAAATGTGAACACTGTTATTTGAAGCATCTCCATTCATGTTTGAAGTAGCTATCTCCACTTTCCCAAAGTACAGTGTACAAATTTGTTGAAATGGGCAACTCTTCTGGAAAAATCCCTTTCATTCTAACAAGCTCCCATATTTGCAATAATTGAAGCAGTACTACAAAACTGTTTCATAGATGCTATTACTTTAGAATGAGAACTATTCATGTTTTAGAGAAGTGAGTGGGATAGAGAGAGAACTATGGATTTACTGAGACAAAAAAAAAAATCCACAGAAAATTGAAAGTACCATGTATTGAGTGACGTCAGTAATCTTTTCCCCAAATATTACCCTCCAAATCTCTTGTCCTAATAAGACTGGGGAATCATTGGACTTCTTTGGAAAAGACTATAGACATGACCTAGACAATGTTTTTCAAACTTGGTAATTTTAAGATGGGTGGACTTCATCTCTCAGAATCCTCCAGCCAGAACTTAAGTCCATACATCTTAATGTAGCCAGGTTTTAAAAGTTCTGATGTAGATGAAAAATAGGAAGTGCTACCCTGTCATGTACATAGGGTCTACTAAAATGCAAAAGTCAAGATAGCATCTCAGTTTTAATTATATGGGACCGATTCAATAAAGTTAGCACATCACATGATGACTGCAATATCAAATGATGGAACATATGTGAGAATAAGATATCCCACATTCAAAACTCCAGATTATTCATTACTCCTTTTTAGTGAGCCTATTTCTGGCAGCACAAATAACTATTATTTCTGATATCTATTATTATAGATATCTATCTATTATTTAAATAAAATACATCCCTCCAAAATTATACAAAGCTAACATCAAAAACATTTCAATAAACATATCAAAAGCTTTCTCAGGACCCACAGAAATTATAGTTGTTTAAACTTGTCTATTTTGAATTATGCCAGCATATATCAAGTCTGGTCTAGATATGAACAGATAGTCTATCCTTCGACACATGATGTCTTGCTATTAAATGTGGCAGTTCAAAATAGTAATAGCAATAGCATTTAGACTGCTTCATACACTGCTTCATAGTGCAGCCCTCTCTAAGTGGTTTACAGAGTCAGCATATTATCCCCAACAATTTAAGTTTTTACTGAGCTCAGAAGGATGGAAGGTCAACCTTGAGTCAATCAGGATCAAACTCCTGGGTGTGGGCAGAGTTAGCCTACAATACTGCATTCTAACCACTGGCTCTTTATTCTGTATATGAATTACACAATCAACTAGTTTCTAGTCCTTTGTATGCAGATCAAAACATGTGTATTCTAGGCAGAAATATTTGGGTGGGTAGAGTGGGGTAGAGCCAAAGCAATGGATGGCAGTAGCCACAACAGAGAAGTCACTAGTAAGATTATGAGAAGGTGACTAGGTGGATAGTTGCATAGCTGTCTTTGACTTCAAACCAACATATCCAATTGGTCTGCCTGCCCTCTTTTCCATACCTCTCCTTACTGCCATCACCAATGTCCTTGGCTTAAAGTGCAGCATAAGGAGAGGTAGAGAAAGGAAGGTAGCAGAAAGACTGGTGAGTAGATCAATGCACAGGCAATATGAAAGAGGGGAGAAGTGCTCTAACTTTGCTCTACCTGTCCTATAAGTTTTGTTTGGATTTTGTTTCAGCTGAAACCTGGAACTTCTAATTTGTTCCAGGTTTTCTGCCAACAATATCCCAGCCAGAAACTTGGCAGAACTTCCAAGAAACAATCTGTTTGTTCCAGGTTCAAAACAAAACGTGGTTTCCATTTCATGCTTATTTTACTGAACATACAATACAAATTGGATATATTCACCCATGTAGTAAGGGAAATCACCTTGATAGAAGTATGTGAAAACAATTATCTAGGCAGAGACTTTCTTTAACTCCTGGAAAGTAAGATAATATTTGGAAGTGCCTCAAGCAAACACTTCTCTACTTCACGGGAGTATGGAAAGGAAGGGGTGGGATAGCACAACCAGACTTACAAGATCATGTTATTGTACCTTCTCTTAATAAAGTGTATAGTTCTAATCTTCCTGTACCCTTTTCTGATCTTGTCTACCTAGGCTTGGCTGACAACCCAATCAAAGTCAGTTAAAGAACCAGCAGCTGCATTTCCCCAAGATGCTAAGTTGGACTTGGGCATCTAGAATTGGAACACCTGACTGAGACCACACAGCCTCTATTCCACCTTACCTTGGACTTAAGTGAACTTCTCTGGTAAACTGATTCTAATGCCCAACTTAGGTTTTTATTTTCCTAATATTCAATCAGAATTTTGAGTTCCTGTAACTAGAATTATCTTATGCCCAGTCTTCTGAACAATAGAGAACAACTCTTGACTTTCTACAGAACCCAGCTTGCTTTGCAATGATATGGTGTTAATCAGGGATGGCCTCTTCATACATTTGAGACACCATACAATTGAACAGAGCTCCCATATAATAATGCATCTTCAGGGTCATTGGCAGCATCCAGCACCTAAGAGTAACTGCTAGAATCCTAACAACCCAGCAAGACTCACAAAACCTTGCCTAACTATTCACATTGCCACTTCCATTTCCTCCAGTGTCCTCAGCCTAGCATCATTGTGTGGGAAACTGAAATAATAGGTCTAGATATAGATTCAAGAGCAGCATTTTCATTTCCCTAATGCCCTGAAGTGGTTCCACAAAACTGACATTGCAGCTCGTAATACCTGTCTCATGGTTACAAAAGTAGCCATTGTGGTGTAATGGCTAAGCTGCTAGACTGAGGTTCAAGTCCATTCACCATCATGGAAAACTCTGCAGCTGACTTTGGAGTAAACCTCATGGGACTGATGAGGTTGGCAACAATTGGAAGCTGGATAAAAGTTGGAATATTAATCCTATGAATAAGTAACTAAGTAAATGAAATAGCTGCTTCAGTCTGATAATGTAGACCAGGGATCCCCAACCTATGGACTGCAGCCCACTACCAGGCCATGGCCTGTTGACCACTGGGCTGTGTGAGTGGTTGGCCAGTGTGTGTGCATGTGTGCAAGTGCACACCCACTACAATTGCAGTGTCACACAAGCATGGCGCAGGTGCTAGCGTCACCGTGAGCACATATCCCTACTAGTGCCAGTGTTGATCTTCATGAGTGCATGCGAATGGGGCAAGCGCCTGCTCAATGCTGGCGCGAGGGAGTGTGCATGGTCAAAGGCCCGTATGCATGTGATCTGACCCAACCAGGTTCCCAGAGAGCAAAGACAGATAAAGGCAGCAGCCCCCACCTTTCAAAGTTTAATCCCAATTCTGTTCCTTTACAGATAAAAGGCTGCTTTCCAACAATTAGCTCTGACAAGAGAGAGCCTTGCCAAGTTGTTTGTCAAGGCTGCCAAAAACCCAGAGATAATAACTAATTTACAAGATTCTCCAAACACAAACTAAGATGTCCACCAGTTGAGCTTCAGAGCTTCTTTGCTGTCTGCAAAGAATGCTTTTCCAAACCTGGCTTTTATCTTCTTGAGGGAGGAGTCATTACTTTGCAGCCTTACTCCTGAGTAGCCGGTGCTGCTGTAACTGCTCTCTCCTCTGAGCAATCCTGCATGCACGCGCACTTGGCAAAGGCTCCTCAAGAACCTCCTCATCACTGCTGCCAGACTCCACAATCTCTGAAGGCAGCAGTCCACTCCCTGATGGTCCTGGCCTCTCATCAGAGTCCTCGCTCTCCTCAGCCATCTGCACCTTCTGCCGGCTAACCACAACAGCATGCATGCATGCATGACAGTATGTATGTGTTCCAGGGCCTTTGCCCCCCCTGGGCTGCCAACCCAGAAAGGTTGGGGAACTCTGATGTAGACAGTTTAATGTGGTATCACTCCACTGACTACCACAATTCTGAATGAAACTTCCTTCAGAGTTCACGTACATGGAAATTCACCATAGCTGGTTTCTATGAACACCAAGACAGCTATACGCTTTCTATAGACCGTAGAGGTAGTCCTTGCCTTATGATCACAACTGAGCCCAATATTTCTGTTGGTAAGCAAGGCAATTGTTAAGTGAGTGGCGCCCTATTTTACAATCTTTTTTTGGCCAGTTGTTAAGCATCACTGCGAACTGTTAAGTGAACCATGCAGTTATTAAGCAAACTTGACTTCCCCCCATTGACTTTACTTGTCAGGAGCTGTTTGGGAAGGTTATAAATGATGATCACAAGAAAACAGGACAGAGCAACAGTCATAAATACATGCCAGTTGCCAAGTGCCTGAATTTTGATCATGTGACCGTGCAACAGTTGTTAAGTGTGAAAAAAAAAATAGTCATAAATCATTTTTTTGGTAACTTTGAACAGTGACTAAATGAATGGTTGTAAGCCAATGACTACCTACATAACCTACTTTAAACATGAGCTCTTTTCTTTTTCCCTGCTTATCATCATACATCTTTATAATGCAAAATTTCCTTTCATGTGTTGGCAAAGGCACTTTTGTCAGTCGCACTAGCTATTTTAAGGATCCTTTGCTTCCATGTAAATGCAAATTACCCCCCCCCCGCTCCCCTTTTTGTTGCTTCCTTACATCAAGGCCAGGCTAACTTGTTACTGCAAGAGCTTCCTCTTCCACGAGTGACAACTCCATATTATCACTTGTAGAGGATTTCACTCGGAAATTGAAAGATCCATACAGCTTGGCTGACTCCTTCGAAGCTGCAAAGCGGCTCCTTCTGTAGAGTTCTCCTTTCCACATTTGCATCATCAGTAAACTGGACAACACAACACCTCCCAGGGTCAAGAGACAGAGCCCAGCAATTACACACCGATCTAGGTGAGCCCCAATCCGGGCGCTCTTCTTCTCCAGGCGCTCCATCTCCCGTGCTGCCACTGTGCTGGGATCCACAGTTACGCCTCTGGGCACCACATAGGAAACAATCACCAACAAAATCCCAACGACCAGGAACAAGATGGCACTGATAAAGCTGTAATCAATAGATTTTCCACCAGCTGCTTCGGAGCCATCCTCCTCCTCTTCCTCGGAAATTAAGGAAGGTGGATCATAGGGCCATTCTGAAGGCATCTCTGTGTCCGGGTCAGGGTGGGGAAGGAACTCTTGGTCTTGGCAACAGCTACGATGTGCAAGACTCCCTGGGTGATTGAGGTGGTTGGTGTTTTCATCTACACAGGTGAAGGACGTTTCCGATTCACAGCAACAGGCATTTTTGGAGGCCGTCTCCTTCTCTTCCTTTGAAAAGTTGGAGCAGGTGAAATGACCGGCTGTGGTAATTTCTGGGGACAATGATGATACCGCAAGGAGGGCAAGAGAGGGCCGGGCAGGTTCTTCTTTGGCTTCCTGTACTGCAGCTTTACAATGCTGCTCGTAGCATTCAGCAGTCGTAACTAGGAATCTGTTCTTTGCCCCACTTTCATCAGGCCGGCCCTGGCACGGTGTAGTGTGCAAGCTCCAATCCACACCGTGGCACTCCACGGATGGAACTCCCTCTCTGGTGACTTGCAAGACCTCCATACATGCCATGGGTGCTTCAGAGCACAAGTCCAATTGACCACTTACTTCTCTGTAGTTTTGGCAAAGGCTGCCGGTTGCCACCTCAGTGGTTGTGAGGTGACCTCGACCGCAACCTCTGACCTTTGGGCTCCCATTTTGCTGTCTTCGGATTCAGCCGCCACTACCACCACCACTCAGTTAAATAAATTTACTTGGAGACGCCTTCGTTTTGAGCCTGCAGTTGCCACAAGAAGAGGAGAAGCAGCTTCTCTGGCAGATCTGTTGTGAGACAAAGGCAAATGTAGCAGAACTGCAACAGAGATTATATAGTCATTACCCTGGTTTTTATTCAGTGTCTCTGCAAGTGGATGGAGAACAGCCAATGTGAAGGCTTGTTTAACCAACCACTGAAAGCTAAACTCCGCTTATCTTAAACCAATTTAGGAACTCTAATCGGCTTTTAGAAATAACCCTTTGCAAATTTTGGAAAAAGAAAAAAGAAAGAAAAGCTCAGTCAACACAGATCCTTTACCACTTCCAGCACTCAAGGGCAAAACCCATCAACCCCCTGTCAAATGCCATTCAAAAGGGCAAAGTCAAACTTGGCGTCTCACATTCACCCAGACTCAAATGCAAAGCCTAATCGGAAAGGAGCCAGCAAAAATCCCCCTGAGCAAAAGTCACCCAGGATCTAGTGTTTGTCCAGTGGAAATCTGAGCATCCCAGGAGGGGGGGAGGAGAGGGGAGTGGGGGGGGGGGGGAGAAGAGAGAGCAGCACTTCCTGGAATCCCATCTCCCAGCCTCTGATGTGAAATCATCTCTGGCTGATGGTTCAAAGGGGCAGCTCTCCGCTTTTCCCCCAAGTGCAATAAGAGAAAAAAGCAAAGGCATTCCAAAACGGCTCACCTGAAACAGAAAGCACGCGCCTGTCGGGATGGGGATGGAGGGGAAGAGAAGGGGCAGGATAACGGGCTTGGGATTTGTGCCGCTCCATCCAAGAGCTTGTCAACATTGACCCAACGCGTTTGGAAGCCGATCAAAGAAGCGAGTCGCAGTTTTCCATCCGAGGTGTGTCCGACTCCCCCTCCCCCCGCCCACCCAACCTCGTCTCCGCGCGCGGGGTACATCAACCCCCGTCCGCTTTGGCTATTTGAGCTTCGGCGCGTTCAGCGCCAACACCTTAACAAATGGGCTAAACATCCGGCGAACCAGGTGAAATGAATAACGGACCGAGGGGATAAGACAATCTTAGGAAAGTAAACGTAAAACTCCCGTCCCTTTAATCTCCCCGGCAGCGCCCCAGTAGCCCTTGCTTGCCCTCTTCACTGACCTTTTTTTTGGGGGGTGGGGGGTCCCCAGAGGTTTGACTCCATCGGGAGCAAAAAGCGCCGCTTGCCCGTCAGTCACCCCGCAGGCTCCATCGGGACGCCCCGAACGGGCACTTGTTGTCGCGGTCCCTTCTCCACGCGCCTCCTCCCTCCTTCCTGCCTCCCTCGAGGTGAGGAGCGCGGGGGACGGACGGGCTGGAATGAGCCCGGAGGGGCGGAGCACTTGGGGCACTCTGGGAAATGTAGTCCCGCCGCGCTCGGAAAGGCGAACAGAATCTAAGGAAGGGGTGTCCAACCTTGGCAACTTTAGGACTTGTGGACTTCAACTCCCAGAATTCCTCAGCCAGCAAAGTTGAAGTCCACAAGTCTTAAAGTTGCCAAGGTTGGACACCCCTGATCTAAGGTCAGGTCTGGGGTTCAAGCACGGTCTAACGAGGTTGCTTTGGGTTGAAACCACACACGCACACACACGCACACACACACACACACACACCAAGGATGGCTCTCAGGGCTCGGGGTCGGTATTCTGCTCTGCCTCACTCTCCCTCCTGCACCAAGTTTCCATATCTTTAGAGAAGTTGTTTGATCTGGAGGAAAGGAAGAAGGAGACGTGCCAAGGGATTTTTTTCAAGCTGAGGAGAATGGCAGTTGCACAGTAGTCCTCGATTTACAGCAGTGCATTTAGTGACAACGGTTCAGAGTTACAATGGTACTGAAGAAAGGGACTTGAGATTGGTTTTTTTTTACACCTAAGATCATTGGGGCATCCCCCATCATCATGGGATCAAAATTCAGATGCTTGGCTATTGAGTCCTTTTTATGACGGCGGCAGTTGAGGTTGTCGATCAGAAAGGTCGGCAGTTTGGCTGTTCGAATCCTAGCACCACGTAACGGAGGGAACTCCCGTTACTTGTCCCAGCTTCTGCCAATCTAGCAGTTTGAAAGCATATAAAAATGCAAGTAGAAAAGGTGGGAAAGTAACAGCATTCCGTGTGTTTAGTCATGCCGGCCACATGACCACGGAGACGTCTTTGGACAGTGCTGGCTCTTCGGCTTTGTAATGGAGATGAGCACTGCCCCCTAGAGTTGGAAATGACTAGCACGTATGTGTGAGGGGAACCTTTCCCTTTTCCTAATCGCCTTTTGCAAACTTCCGTCAAACAAAGTCAACGGGGAAGCCAGATTCACTTAACAGCCATAGTATGAACCTAACACTTAGCAACCGTGGCAAGAAAAGTCGTAAAATGAGGCAAAGCTCACTTAACAAATATTAACGTAGAATAGGGCTGGAAGGGGCCTTGAAGGTCTTCTAATCTAGCCCCCTGCTTGAGCCAGAGACCTTATACCATTGCAGGTTTTCAAGCTCTTATTGAAAACCAAACACCTCCAGCAATGGAGCACCCACAGCTTCAGGAGACAAGCCATTCCACTGATTAATTGTTCTCACTGTTGGGAAAGTTCTCCTTAATTCCAGTTAGAGGAAGGCGACCTTCTCGACCTGGAAGAGTTCCGGGTCTTCTGGACTTCAGTTCTCATGATGCCAATCCAGTACTTGCACTGGAATTACAGGGTCTGAAATACTAGGCAGAGGTGAAGAGCATCAGGTTGTAGGGGGAAGATCCTTTCATTGGCTTTTCATTAAAAGTTCCACAGCATTTTGTGTAAGTGATGGGGGAAAAAAAAAATCTGGATTTGAGGAGCATTTAATTTTGTTTCAAAACCTGAAGAGTTTTATTGAGAAGAATTTCATTAAGATTATGATATGTAAAATTATACCTGTGAAAATATAAAGCAATGGTAATGCCATTTTTAACCTCTGTGTTAACCTAAGATAATTTACTGGAATATTGTGGAAGAATTCTTTATTGTCTTGTATAAAGGTTATATATTTGGCAGGTTAGGCTGTCCAGTGTCATGTTAATGATGATGATTACTGGAAATGGAAATGGGTAAACAGGTTAAGGAAACAGATGGCATGCTACAGTAATAGAGGTGTTATGTAGGGGCATATGTAGCTGGATAGATTGTGAACCTGGAAAGGGGCAGAGACTGTATATTTGAAACTATATAAACCCCAGCCCTCCTAGGAAACATGTCTTCTGTTGGCTCCGCCCATGAGCACAGAATTCCCTTTTGCAAAAGCTCCATAATAAAGCTACTCTTTATTGTTCACATGTCTCCAGTTGTCTGAATACCTGAATGGTTGATTTTTTATCACAAAGATACGAGTGCTTATAGAAAACAACCAGATTTAGAATAAAATTCCTTGAGCATCAGATAGGACAGTGCTGACAGTACAATTCCAGATTTCTTTGCATTGGTGTTCAATCAAAGGGTGATAGGAACCACAAATTAAAGCTACACAGAGAGAACCAAGCATGTTTAAGATACAGAAGTGGGCTAATTGCTTCTTCCGGCTTATTTTATTCCCGTGTGGCTGAAATGGAAACTTCAAGAGAAACTACATAGTTTGTTCATTGGCACAAGGAGCTTGTATCATGGAAAGAGGGGAGATAAGAAAAAGAAAGATGAATTGGAGATATTCGTCACCTTGGGAACTTTTGGCCACCTGTACAACCTGATAAAATGTGCCAGTCTTTCTCTCCCTTCTCACTTTGTTGTCAAATTGTCAGTAGTAAAATACTCAGGCCCATTTTATGCACTGTTATAATAGCATACTTTTCTTCTGCAGAAGATGTCAGGTGTGGAGGTGGTGAGAAAAAAAAATGCATAGCAACACAGAGCCTTGTGTTGCCACAAATAAAGCTGGTTAAAAGATGAATCAGGCAATGGGAGAAGGAAGAAAAGTTTGAGAAAGAGCCAAAATCATCTCATTTGGTTTCTCACAATGTTGGGGTGGTGGTGAGGTTTTACAGGGGTACATTCTCCACTCACAGAGGGCTCAGAGGATGGTGTGAAATGGCTCTGTGTACATCAACCCAAAAGGCAACAGATTTTTTTGACAGTTCACAGCATCACAAGTGCAAAATAGCTGCAGAGGAGGCAGGTTACAAATTCAGCTGTCATTAATTGAGAAGGTGGATATTTTTGTAGGGTTGCTAAATTACAGAGACAGAGCAGGAGTTCTGTCTTAAGAAACTTCCAAGTTCAATTAGAAAGAGGAGAAGAAGAATGGCAGGTAGCAAGAAGAATATCTCTATGAACATCTGGAGATACATTCTCAATTCCAGACTAGAATTTTTTTTAAAAAAAGAAACTGTTCCACTTTTTTCATATACAACTCAAAGCAGTGAATATACCAGTTCTCCTTTCTCATACTATTTTTCCCACAACAAGAACCCTTTGAGGTGAGTTGGATTGAGAGACAGAATGACTGGCCCAAGGTCACTCAACTAGCTTTCATGGCTAAGGCAGGATTAGAACTCAGGGTCTCCCAGTTTCTGGGCACTAAACCTAGTCTTCAATATGATGTGTGTTGGTTAAAAAGTGCCCAATGAGAACTCACTTGAGCCTTTTCAGTATGTGTTGAAACTTCTAAATATGTCCAATGGTTCCATGGCTAATAATATTAGGGATATTACCAGTCCTACAGATAACTTGATAAATTCTGGTTCATAGGGAAAATAAAAGTTTTGAGGTAGAACAGTACTGGAGTCAATGGCAAAAATGTCCTATTTGATCTTGTTAATACTAGTAATCCCTGTGAATCTGCTATCAATGAGACTACCTCTTGTTCTGTTGTTTCATTGCTTCTCACCTGTCCCTAATTCACCATAGCCTATGTACAGGTAACCACAGAAAAAGCAGGTACCAGTTCCCATATGAAATGACTATAGGTAGTCCTTG